GTAGGCAGATCACTAGAGACCAGCCTGGGCAACATGGCAAAACCCTGTCTCTACAAAACATACAAAAATTAGCCGAGCATGGTGGTGCATGCCTGTAGTTCCAGCTACCTGGGAGGCTGAGGCAGAAGAATGGCTTGAGCCCGGGAAGTGGAGGTTGCAGTGAGCCGAGATCATGCCGCTACACTCCAGATTGGGCAACAGAGCCAGACCTTGTCTTAAATAAATAAATACATAAATAAGATGAGGACGCTGGGCATGGTGGCTCACCCCTGTATCCCCAGCATTATGGGAGGCCAAGGTGGGTAGATAGCTTGAGCCCAGGAGTTCGAGACCAGCCTGGGCAATGTAGAGAGACCCCATCTCTACAAAAAATTAAAAAATTAGCCAGGCATGGTGGTGCCCATCTGTGGTTCCAGCTACTTGGGAGGTTGAGGTGGGAGGATTGATTGAGCCTGGGAGGTCAAGGATGCAGTGAGCTAAGATTGTACCACTGCACTCCAGCCTGGATAACAGAGACCCTTTCTCAAAAGCAAACAAACAAACAAAATACAGATGACGATGGCCAGGCGCGGTGGCTCATGCCTGTAATCCCAGTACTTTGGGAGGCTGAGGTGGGTGGATCACGAGGTCAGGAGATCGAGACCAGCCTAGCCAACATGGTGAAATCCCGTCTCTACTAAAAATACAAGAAAAAAAAAAATTAGCCGGGTGTGGTGGCGGGCATCTGTAATCCCAGCTACTTGATAGGCTTAGGCAGGAGAATAGCTTGAACCTGGGAGGTGAAGGTTGCAGTGAACCAAGATGGCACTACTGCACTCCAGCCTGGGCGACAGAGCGAGACTCCATCTCGAAAAAAAAAAAAAAAATACAGATGAAATATAAGTAGGGGAACTGGGACTCAAACCCAGATATTAGGTAGCTTAAATAACAGCAATTTATTTTCTCACAGTTTTGGAGGCTGCAGTCCAAGCTCAAGGTACCAGCATGGTCAGTTTCAGTTTCTCTTCCTGGCTTGTAGAATCTTTTTTTTTTTTTTTTTTTTTTTTGAGACGGAGTCTCGCTCTGTCACCCAGGCTGGAGTGCGGTGGCCGGATCTCAGCTCACTGCAAGCTCCGCCTCCCGGGTTCACGCCATTCTCCTGCCTCAGCCTCCCGAGTAGCTGGGACTATAGGCGCCCGCCACCTCGCCCGGCTAGTTTTTTTTGTATTTTTTAGTAGAGACGGGGTTTCACCGTGTTAGCCAGGATGGTCTCGATCTCCTGACCTCGTGATCCACCCGTCTCGGCCTCCCAAAGTGCTGGGATTACAGGCGTGAGCCACCGCGCCCGGCCTGCTTGTAGAATCTTAATTACTTCCTTAGAGGCGCCAGAACTGCAACATATGAATTTTGGGGGACAAAATTATTCAGTTCACAACACGAACACTGTCTGACACCAAACTCTGGGAAGACATAGTAACAAATTAGTTGAAACCTCTGATTTGTTCTGACACTATATTGGGAACTGTGTGTGTGTGTGTGTGCCTGTGTGTGTTGGGGGCGGGGGCAGGAGGTGCTTCATTTGCTTCAATTGTTGGTCTGAAACTTTAATCCAAATTGGGCTGCCAACTTTTCAGCCGTCTATTAGCATACCTCCCACAGGGCTTTGTTAGGGAACACTTGAAAGGGTTCCTGGATTTAGAAGTCCAGTTAAACTTCAGATGAGAAGGGGAAGAATTTGGAAGACGTGGGAGAAAAAGGTAAGCCCACTCACCTCAGAAGCCATGACTCAGAAATAATGTCTTTTTTATTTATTCCCCAAATTAGACATGGTTTGCTGGGAGGCCCTGCAGCTTTTCCAGCTGATGGTAACAGGTAAAGGAAAGTTTCTTTGAAGTTCCTCCAAAGATGTGGCAATGTTGATCTGATTTATTTTTGTGGTCAGATTGTTTTGGTCTTGATCATTGTTCTGAAGAAGGAATGAAGATTGTCTGCACAAGTATTTCAAACCCTCCTTTCATTTCCTCCTTTTTTTTGCAGAAGCACCCAATTTAATGAGGACATATGCATGCATTGTAATTATTTACTTAAAGGACTCCTGGTGTGTTTTCAGACAAGTAATTCATTCTCCTTGTATACTGTGAGGGGGTGGAGATTGTACTGATGTTCCCAAGTATCATTAAGCCCGACAGCTGCTGTGGTTAATTTGCCTTCTAAAGATCAAAGAATTCTAAAATGTTAACTGAGTATAACTGGTTCGGGATTCACAAGATACACATTTTTCGACAAGGATAAGAGACTGGGATGGTGGCTCATGCCTGTAATCCCAGCACTTTGGGAGGCTGAGGCGGGTGGAACACCTGAGGTCAGGAGTTCAAGACCAGCCTGGCCAACATGGTGAAACCCCCATCTCTACTAAAATACAAAAAAATGGCCAGGCATGGTGGCAGTTGCCTGTAATCCCAGATACTTGGGAGGCTGAGGCAGGAGAAACGCTTGAACCCGGGAGGTGGAGGTTGCAGTGAGCTGAGATCACGCCATTGCACACCAACCTGGGTAACAAGAGCCAAGAGTCTGTCTCAAAAAAAAGAAAAAAGAAACTGCAAAGGAGCTACAGTTTTAAGTTCTTGGAGTAGTATTTAAACTTTGGATCAAACCCCCTGACTTTTTTCCAATTACAGACAGGCAATTATCTCCAGAGTTTTAAAATGTTGTTTCTTGGAATTTTTTTTTGAGACAGAGTCTCACTCTGTCACCTAGGCTGGAGTGCAGTGGCACAATCTCGGCTCACTGCAACCTCCGCCTCCTGGGTTCAATCGATTCTCTTGCCTCAGCCTCCTGAGTAGCTGGGATACAGGCACGCACCACCACACCTGGCTAATTTTTTGTATTTTTAGTAGAGACGGGGTGTCTCCATGTTGGTCAGGCTGGTCTTGAACTCCTGACCCCAGGTGATCCCCCTGCCTCGGTCTCCCAAAGTGCTGGGATTACAGGCAGAAGCCACTGTGCCTGGCCTTGGAATTTTTTAATTCAGAATTTTGTTTGCTATTTTAATCTTCCTTGATCCAGAGACTTTTTGTTTGTTTTCCTGGAAAGGGATGAAGAACTTAAACTGAAATTCAAAGATACAGAAGGGGAAGTAGAGCTGCATTGGGTTGCATTAGAAGAGCATGGAAATAGTGACAAGTGCGTCAGCTGTCCAGAGAGTAATTACAACTACTCTCCATTCCACTAAGATGGAGCAGAAAATGTGGTTAGTGCTTAATACCAGATCAATTTTTTTTTTTTTTTAAGATGGAGTTTTTTGCTCTTGTTGCCCAGGCTGGAGTGCAGTGGTGCAAGCTCAGCTCACTGCAACCTCCGCCTCCCGGGTTCAAGTGATTCTCCTGCCTCAGCCTCCCGAGTAGCCGGGATCACAGGCACGCACCACCACGCCTGGCTAATTTTTTGTATTTTTAGTGGAGATGGGTTTTCATCATGTTGGCCAGGCTGGTCTTGAACTCCTGACCTCAGGTAATCTATCCGCCTTGGCCTCCCAAAGTGCAGGGATTACAGGCATGAGCCACCATGTCCGGCCTAATACCAGATTAATTCTTTATATTATCTAGTTTGAAATTTAGACCAAAGAGACTCTTAGGCAGCCTTGCTTGTTAGCAAACAGAATGCCCCAACGCCACAGTACCAAAGGGGACTACCTATCTTAGGGAGGAGGGTCATGCCATTAGAAAGTTGTGGCTCTTGGGCAGAGGGTGGCAGAGCCATGGCCAAGTCTGGCTCATCACCTGCTTTGTAAATAAAGTCTGACCGGCACACAGCCCTGTCCATTTGTTTTCATACTCTCTACGCTGATTGTGTCACAATGGCACAACAGCAGTTACAACAAAGACCATATAGTCCAGGGGTCCCCAGCCTTTTTGGCACCAGGGAGTGGTTTCATGGAAGACCGTTTTTCCATGGATGCGGATGGTGCTGGAGGATGGTTTGGGGATGAAACTATTCCACCTCAGATCATCAGGCATTAGATTCTCACAAGGAGCATGCAACTTAGAACCCTCACATGCGCAGTTCATATTCCTTTGAGAATCTAAGGTCAAAGCGGATCTGACAGGAGACAAAGCTCAGGCGGTAATGCTCGCTTGCACGCTCACCTGCCACTCACCTCCTGCTGTGTGATCCAGTTCCTAACAGGTTGGGGACCCTTGATATAGACCACAAAGCTTGAAAATATTCACTACCAGGCCCTTTGCAGAAAAAAGTTTTTGGACTCCTCTTTGTAGGGCCTCAAATTGGCCCCATCTCCACCTCTTCATCCATTAGCCTACATTGGGGTCATGCAATGTCAAGTATCAGATGAAGAACTGACCACCCAAAGCTCTGACTAGGCTGTGTTTCTTCCCACATGACAAACTTTGCCATCCATTAATGCTTGAGCCACAGGCTTAATTAAGATGATATAAATGGTTAAAGCTTATCTATTTCCAACTACCAGAAGCCAGAAAAGAAATACACAATAACTTTGTTTATTTTCTTATTTTTTGAGACAAAGTCTCACTCTGTTGCCCAAGCTGGAGCGCAGTGGCAGTCTGTGCCACTGCAACCTCCACCTCCAGGGTTCAAGTGATTCTCCTGCCTCGGCCTACCGAGTAGCTGGGACTACAGGCACGCACCACCATGCCCGGTTAATTTTTGTATTTTTAGCAGAGATGGGGTTTCACTATGTTGGCCAAGCTGCTCTTGAACTCCTGACCTCGTGATCTACCCACCTCAGCCTCCCAAAGTGCTGGGATTACAGGTGTGAGCCACTGCGCCTGGCAAGAACTTTATTTTTTAAACTTTAAACTATCAACAATTAAAGGGGAATCTTCTTTAACTTGATCTTTTCTTCTATATTTGAAAAGTATCTCATCTTTGTCAAAATTTCCTTGGCTTCTTCAAAGTCATCTGAAATAAACAGAGACACTGAAGTCAGTCTTCATTTCAAGCAAGAATAAAACCAACTCTGATGACTAGGGCAGCCATATATAGGTGGAGCCCTGGGGTCCGGAGGGCCCCTCAATTCCTCAATAAGACTTAGCAACAAAGAGGGAGAACATCTGGATCGTTAAGGAGACAAAGGGATAAACCAAATCGGGGGAGGGGGGGCATGTAAGAGCATGTGCACAGGATTCACATAAATTAGAGAAGTTTATTCTCTTCAGGATAGACCCAAGTAATAAATGACTGGTGGGGGCTAGATGCAGGAGCTCATACCTGCTATCCCAGCACTTTGGGAGGCTGAGGCGGGAGGATGGCTTGAGCCCAGGAATTGAAGACCAGCCTGGGTAACAAGGCAAGACCCTGTCTCTACCAAAAAAAAAAAAAAAAAAAAAAAATTAGCTGGGCATAGTGGCACATGTCTGTAGTCCTGGCTACTTGGGAGGCTGATGTGGGAGGATCCTTTCAGCCTAGGAGTTTGAGGTTGCACTGAGCTATGACTGCGCCACTGTACTTCAACCTGGGTGACAGGGTGAGACCCTGTCTCTTTTAAAAAAAAAGGGGGGGGTTGTGTTTTAAAAGTTTTAAAACTTTTTCCCTAACACATGTGGTGGTATACTGAGGATATGAAAGCACTGGATGCTTCCTCTATGCCAGGTGCTGAGGCACAGAGCTGCCTTCAGGGGGCTTACAGTTCAGGTGCTAAGGCACAGAGATAAGCTCAGGGGGCTTACAGTTCCCAAGAAAGACACCGTTAGACCAGTGATTTTCTTTTTTGTGTGTGTGTGAGATGGAGCCTCACTCTGTCACCTAGGCCAGAGTGCAGTGGCGCGATCTCAGCTCACTGCAACCTCTGCCTCCTGGGTTCAACCAATACTCATGCCTCAGTCTCCTGAGTAGCTGGTACTACAGGGTGTCTGCCACCATGCCTGGCTAATTTTTGTATTTTTAGTAGAGGCAGGGTTTCACCATGTTGGCTGTGGCTGGTCTCAAATTCCTGACCTCAAGTGATCTGCCTGCCGTGGATTCCCAAAGTGCTGGGATTATAGGTGTGAGCCACCATGCCTGGCCAGACCAGTGATTTTCAACTGGGGATGATTTTGTCCCCATGGGGACATCGGGCAAGATCTGGAGATATTTTTGGTTGTCACAGTTAGGAGGTAGTACTGACATCTGGTGGGTACAGGCCAGGGATGCTGCTAATCGTCTTACAGTGCTCAGGACAGCTCCCCCAAATGAAGAATTAACTGGCTTACAATATCTGTAGTGCCAAAGTTGAGAAACCCTGACTTAGATAAGTACAACACAATGTGAAGAGTGCTAAAATGAAGATATGTTATAACCACTCGCATCATTCCAGATGACTCCCAAAATAAAATATTTAGCAAAAAAGTCACAGGATATATATGATATTATTTATATAAAGATAAAAATATGTGAGACGAAATAATACATTATTATGTACATATATGGTTAAAACTATCAAGAAAAGCAAGGGAATGAGTAACACAAAATTCAGGAGGGTGGTTACTGTGGGAAATGTAATGGCAAATGGTCTACCAGGGACTTGGAAGGCCTTGGTCATATTTCATTTCTCAATTTATTTAATATATTTTTTGTATTAAAAAAATTTTAGGACCAGGTGCAGTGACTCAGGCCTGTAATCCCAGCACTTTGGGAGGCCGAGGTGGGCGGATCATGAAGTCAGGAGTTCAAGACCAGCCTGGCCAACATGGTGAAACCCCATCTCTACTAAAAATACAAAAATTAGCTGGGCATGGTGATAGGCACCTGTAATCGCAGCTACTTGGGAGGCTGAGGCAGGAGAATCACTTGAAACCGAAAGGCTGAGGTTGCAGTAAGCTGAGATCGTGCGATCGTGCCACTGCACTCCAGCCTGGGTGAAAGAGCAAAACTCGGTCTCAAAAAAAAAAAAAAAAAAAAAAATTAAGTTGTGGTAACACATGACATAAAATTCATCATGTTAGCCATTTCTAAGTGTACAGTTCAATGACATTAACTACATTCACATTGTTATGCAAGAATCATCACCATCCATCCGCAGAACTTTTTTTTTGTTTGTTTCAGATGGAGTCTCCCGTTGTCGTTGAGGCTGGAGTGCAGTGGCATCATCTTGGCTGACTGCAGCCTCCACCTCCCGGGTTCAAGTGATTCTTGTGCCTCAAAATCCCAAGTAGCTGGGATTACAGGTATGCACCATCACACCCAGCTAATTTTTGTATTTTCAGTAGAGATGGGGTTTCACCATGTTGGTCAGGCTGGTCTTGAACTCCTGGTCTCAGGTGATCCATCTGCCTCAGTCTCTCAAAGTGCTGGGATTACAGGTGCAAGCCACCCTGCCCAGACTTCCACAGAACTCTCTTCATCTTGCAAAACTGAAGCTGTCTACTTATGAAATAACTGTCTATTTTCCTCTTCCCGACTCTATTCCCCACAACCACCATTCCACTTTCTCTCTATGAATCTATCACAGGTACCTCATATAAGTGGAATTATATAGTATTTGTCCTTTTGTGACTGACATTTCACATAGTACATTGCCCTCAAGGTTCATCCATGTTGGAACCTGCGTCAGAATTTCCTTTTTTTTTTTTCCCTTGAGACAGAGTTTCGCTCTTGTTGCTCAGGCAGGAGTGCAGTGGTGCGATCTTGGCTCGATTCTCCTACCTCAGCCTCCCAAGTAGCTGGGATTACAGGCATCTGCCACCACACCTGGCTACTTTTTGTATTTTTAGTAGAGATGGGGTTTCAACCATATTGGCCAAGCTGGTCTCGAACTCCTGACCTTGTGATCCGCTGGCTTTGGACTTCCTAAGTGCTGGGATTACAGGCTTGAGCTACTGCGCCTGACCCTGTGTCAAAATTTCTATCCCTTTTTTTTGAGATGGAGTTTTTCTCTTGTTGCCCAGGCTGGAGTGCAATGGCGCAATCTCAGCTCACTGCAACCTCTGCCTCCCGGGTTCAAGTGATTTTCCTGCCTCAGCCTGCTGAGTAGCTGGGATTATAGGCACCTGCCACCATGCTGGGCTAATTTTTTTGCATTTTCAGTAGAGATGGGGTTTCACCATGTCGGCCAGGCTGGTCTCGAACTCCCGACCTCAAATGATCCGCCTGCCTCAGCCTCCTAAAGTGCTGGGATTACAGATGTGAGCCACTGCGCCCAGCCCATTGTTGCACTTATTATTTTGAACAAATTTAACTGTTAGATCAATTAAAAAAAAAGTTTTAATTTTACATTTACTTATTCCTTTCTCCAATGGTTTTCCTTTCTTTATGTAGACCCAAGTTTCTGACCTATATAAATTTCCTCCACTCTAAATAAATTCTTTTTTTTGAGACAGAGTCTCATTCTGTCACCCAGGTTGGAGTGCATTGGCGTGATCTCAGCTCACTGCAACCTCCGACTCCTGGGTTCAAGCGATTCTCCTGCCTCAGCCTCCTGAGTAGCTGGGATTACAGGTGAGCGCCACCATGCTGGCTAATTTTGTATTTTTAGTAGAGATGGGGTTCCACTATGTTTGTCAGGGTGGTCTCGAACTCCTGACCTCGTGATCCGCCCACCTCAGCCTCCCAACATGTTGGGATTACAGGCGTGAGCCACCATGCCCGGCCAATCAATTATTTTAACATTTTTTTACAAGGCAGGTCTCCTGTCAACAAATTTCCTCTTTTTTTTTTTTTTTTTTGAGACAGAGTCTTGCTCTGTCGCCCAGGCTGGAGCGCAGTGGCCGGATCTTGGCTCACTGCAAGCTCCGCCTCCCGGGTTTACGCCATTCTCCTGGCTCAGCCTCCCGAGTAGCTGGGACTACAGGCGCCCGCCACCTCGCCCGGCTAGTTTTTTGTATTTTTTAGTAGAGACGGGGTTTCACTGTGTTAGCCAGGATGGTCTCGATCTCCTGACCTCGTGATCCGCCCGTCTCGGCCTCCCAAAGTGCTGGGATTACAGGCTTGAGCCACCGCGCCCGGCCTCTTTTTTTTTCAGATGGAATCTTGTACTTTTATCCAGGCTGGAGTGCAGTGGTGCGATCTAGGTTCACTGCAACCTCCACCTCCCAAGTTCAAGTGATTCTCCTGCCTCAGCCTCCCAAGTAGCTGGGATTACAGGCACACTACCACACCCGGCTAATTTTCTATTTTTAGAAGAGATGGGGTTTCACCATGTTGGCTAGGATGGTCTTGATCTCTTGACCTCTTGATCCACCTGCCTCGGCCTCCCAAAGTGCTGGGATTACAGGTGTGAACCAGCACGCCCAGTCTAAATTCCCTCAATTTTTATTTGCCTGAGAATAGCTTCATTCCTCCTTCAGGTTTCTTTTTTTGTTTTGAGAAGGAGTCTCGCTCTGTTGCCCAGGCTGGAGTGCAGCAGTGCAGTCTCAGCTCACTGCAACCTCAGCCTCCCCGGTTCAAGCGATTCCCCTGCCTCAGCCTCTTGAGTAGCTGGGACTGTAGGCACATACCACCACACTCAGCTAATTTTTGTATTTTTAATAGAGATGGGAGTTTCACCATGTTGGCCAGGCTGGTCTCAAACCCCTGACCTCAAGTGATCCACCCACCTCACCCTCCCAAACTGCTGGGATTACAGGTATGAGTCACCATGCCCGGATCACTTTTTTGATATAGTTTGTTTCTCTAGCAAGGCAGAAATGTCGATCCTTTTTTTTCTTTTTTTTTTTTTTTTTGAGTCAGAGTCTTGCCCTGTTGCCCAGGCTGGCATAGTGGCACAATCTCGGCTCACTGCAACTTCCGCCTCCCTGGTTCAAGTGACTCTCCTGCCTCAGCCTCCATAGCAGCTGGGACTACAGGCGGTGTGCCACCACGCCCGGCTAATTTTTGTATTTTTAGTAGAGATGGCGTTTTATCCGTTAGCGAGGATGGTCTCTATCTCCCAACCTCATGATCCGCCCACCTTGGCCTCCCAAAGTGATGGGATTACAGGCGTGAGCCACTGTGCCCGGCCCAGAAATGTATTAAAGGCATTTTTTAAAGGCAGAAATGTAGATTCTAAGTATTTCATATCTCCCAACATAGCTATCATAGGAAGGTATATCATAGCTAGTCATTGAATGAATGGCTACGTCTTAGTGCTTGGAATTTCTTTCCATATTTAAGAAAGTCAAGAAAAGAAAGTACCTTGTTCAAAAGCACTGCTCACATTGTCAGTAAATTCTTTCTGTTTAGCTGAAAAAGAAAACCATTCTCTTAATTTTTCCACTGAAATAGACTTATAATATGAAGACAATACATATACTTTGTAATCATGCTGGTTTGAACACAACTAAGGAGGAAGTTTATATTCTAGGGTAAGGCTTCATAACCTTTGTCTCTGTGTGTACCATGACGGCAGCTGCTGTTTAGCAGAACTCTGGCTGACCCTAATAACACTCTGTTTTTCTACCCATGAAAGGTCTGAGGAGCAATCACCAAGGCTTATAAAATGGCTATAGAATCAGTTAAAAAAAAAAAAAAAAAAAGACAAGGATATACTGATTATCTCCACAAAACAGTTTGGGTCTTCGACATTTCAGCAAGGAGAATATTAACATGCTGGGAACACCTATCAGTAAAGCATTACTGAGTGTTTCCGGCAACGATTTGCAAATTGTATGGCCTCTCAGGAAAATGAAAACATTTACATCATGTTGTGTCATAAGAGAGAAGATGCCAAACAAAATAAAGCAGCAGCTATCTCATATTTCTCTTGATTCCTTGTTAGAAAATGAGGAATTTTCCAGTAATCTCATTTCTCAGATATAAATAGTATCAGTCATTTATATGGTGTCATCTTTCGAAACACTGTCAAATACATTATATCCCTAAGGTAGGAAATGACAGGTATTGGGGGAATTGTCCCATGGGTGATGAGTGGAAGATCTGGGAGCAGAATCCAAGTCACTTGACTCCCAGTCTGGTGTTTGAAACTCACCTCTCAGGTAGCAGTGTGGTGTCCACAAAAGAACAGACTAGGAACCTGGAGGTTCTTAAGCCCTGACCCTAAAATTAACTAGCTCTATGCCTTGAACATTCATTTTACCTGGGCCGTAACAGATACCTTACAGGAGAAAATTTAGGAATTAATCTAAATTAAGGTCAGTGAGCTGCTCAAAGTCAAATGTTTACTATAGGGCTAGAATAAGTTTTTTTTTTTTTTTTTTTTTTGAGACGGAGTTTCACTCTTGTTGCCCAGTCTGTAGTGCAATGGTGCGATCTCGGCTCACTGCAACCTCTGCCTCCCGGGTTCAAGCAATTCTCCTGCTTTAGCCTCCGAAGTTGGTGGGATTATAGGCGTGCGCCACCATGCCCAGCTAATTTTGTATTTTTAGTAGAGACGGGGTTTCGCCATGTTGGTCAGAGTGGTCTTGAACTCCTGACCTCAGGTGATCTGCCCATCTCAGCCTCCCAAAGTGCTGGAATTATAGGCGTGAACCACCATACCTGGCCTAGAATACATGCTTTTACATGCTTTATCTCATTTATCTTGATCCCCACAACAACCAGTACTAATATTATCTCTATTTACAGATGAGGAAACTGAAGGTCAGAGGAATGAAGTCATTTGTTCAAGGTCACACAAAGTCAATAGCATGCTGCCTTGTCATCTAAAATTGGGCAGCTGAGCCCATCGACTGCAACTCCTGAGTTTCTCTTCTCCCTATCACCGAGCCCTAATGCTGTCAACATATCTCCAGCTGACAGTCCCCTCACCACAAATTCTATTTTACTGCTTTAAACGTCTTTTCTCATTATTGTTTGCTCATTTAGTAAATACTTACCAAGTTCCTTTTAAACTATAAGTACTTTTCTGTGAGCTGAGGATGTGAGGGAAGCAAAAAGTAGACATGATTTCTCCTTCTGCAGAACTTCCAGTCTAATGATGGAGGCTGATATTGATCAATTAATATCACACAGAACAGTGAAGTTATAACTGTGATTAGTCTTACAAAAGAGATAGCCACTACTAATAGATAGCTTAAAAAAGGCTTCTCTGAGGAAATGATGATTACCTTCAGATCTGGAGAAGGAGGGGTTAACTTAAATGGGGTGAAGGAGAGGAGGCCTTCAGGCAGAAGCAAGAGGCCCTAAGGTAAGAGGGTGCCTAGTACAGATGAGGAACCGGAAGTGGTCAGTGTGGCTGGAGTGGAGAGGGCAAAACGAAGAGAAGCAAAGGACAGGGCATGCAGGGCCCTGTAAGGGATGCTAGAGCTTTAGAGCAGTGAGAAGCCACTTAAAAGTTTTTTCTTGGGGAGGGGGGAGGGATTGCATTGGGAGTTATACCTGATGTAAATGACGAGTTGATGGGTGCTGACGAGTTGATGGCTGCAGCACACCAACATGGCACAAGTATACATATGTAACAAACCTGCATGTTATGCACATGTACCCTAGAACTCAAAGTATAATTTAAAAAAAAAAAATACACATAAAAAAAAAAAAAAAAGTTTTTTCTTTTTTTCTGAGACGTGGTTTCGCTCCACTGCTGAAGCTGGAAAGCAATGGTGCAAACACGGTTCACTGCAATCTCCACCTCCTGGGCTCAAGTGATCCTCCTGCCTCAGCCTCTTGAGTAGCTGGGACTACAGGCATGCACTACCACATCTGGCTAATTTTTAAATTTTTTTATGGAGATGGGGTCTTGCTATGTTGACCAGGCTAGTCTTGAACTCCTGGGCTCAAAAGATCCTCCCACTTCAGCCTCCCAAAGTACTGGGATTACAGGTGTAAGCCACACCTGGCCAATTTAAATAAGGCCAAAAGTAGTGATTAGATTTGGGTTTTGGCTGGGCTTGGTGGCTCACACCTGTAATCCCAGCACTTTGGGAGGCCAAGATGGATGGATCACCTGAGGTCAGGAGTTTGAGATCAGCCTGGGCAACATGGTGAAACCCCGTCACTACTAAAAACAAAAAATAGAATTAGCCAAGCATGGTGGCACGCACCTGTAGTCCTAGCAACTTGGGAGGCAGAGGCAGGAGCATAGCTTGAACCTGGGAGGCAGAGGTTGCAGTGAGCCGAGATGATACCACTGCACTCCAGCCTGGGTGACAGAGCAAGACTCTGTCTCAAAAAAAAAAAAAAAAAGACTTGAGTTTCAAAAAGATTCCAGTGACAGTGAAGGGATTTGTTAGATGGGGCCTGAAGGTACAGACAGACCAGTGAAAAGCTACTGCAGTTGTCCAGGTGAGAGTGAATGGTAGCTTGGAAAAGGTTGGTGGCAGTGAAAATAGAGATGGGTGGATGAATTTGAGGCAAATTTAAGTCGGCTCTTTCAGACATAAAAGACTGACTACACGCATAAGGAAAAATAAGGTTGTTAAGGCCTCCTCAAAATTTACACTTGTTCAACTGGTGTCATTCTCTTAGGGAACACTGGAAGAGGAACAGATTATTCTTCTTATTATTTTTTTATTTGGAGTCTTGCTTTGTCATCCAGGCTGGAGTACAGTGGCACGATCTCGGCTCACTGCAACCTCCGCCTCCTGGGTTCAAGCAATTCTCCTGCCTCAGCCTCCCGAGTAGCTGGGACTACAGGCGCATGCCAACATGCCCAGCTAACTTTTTGTATTTTTAGTAGAGACGGGGTTTCACTATGTTAGCCAGGATGGTCTTGATCTCCCGACCTCGTGATCCGCCTGCCTTGGCCTCCCCAAGTGCAGGGATTACAGGCGTGAGCCACCGCGCCCGGCCTAAGAGGAACAGGTTTTTTTTAGGGGAAAGGTGGGGAGGGGAGACACTTGGGAATCCATTTTGGGCACAATTGACATATATAAACTCCAAGAAGGCACAGTCTTTCTTGTTCTATGCTGTATCCTCAGTGTCATACGCAGTGCCTGATATTTGTAGTAGAACACTACAAATATCTGTGAAAGTATGTAATGAATAGAGTCTAACAGAGAACCTTGGAATCTTTTATATGTGGAATGGTCAATTTGATGAGTCAAGTTGGCTAGGCTATGGTGCCCAGTTGTTTGCCAGGCACACTGAGTCACGCCTGTAATCCCAGCACTTTGGGAGACTGAGGCAGGGGGATTGCTTTGAACCCAGGAGTTTAAAGCCAGCCTGGGCAACATGGCAAAATCCCATCTCTATAAAAGACACAAAAAATTAGCCAGGCGTGGTGATGCACACCTGTAGTCCCAGCTATCCAAGAGGTTGAGGTGAGAAGATTGCTTGAGCCCATGGGTCAAGGCTACAGTGAGCTGTGACTGTACCACTGCGCTCCAGCCTGGGTGACAGAGTGAGACCATGTCTCAAAAAAACAAAAACCAACTAGTTTAGATGATCCTGTGAAGGTATTTGTAGATGTGATTAACATTTATAATCAGTTGACTTTAAGTAATGGATGTTACCCTACATAATGTGGGTGGGCCTCATCCAATCAAGTAGAGGCATTAAGTGCAAAAACAGGTTTTCTGGGAAGGAATTCTGTAGCAAGACTGTAACATAGAAATCCTGCCTAGACTTTCAGCCTGCTTATCTACCTTATAGATTTTATTTATTTATTTTTTTGTGACAGGGTCTCACTGTCACTCAGGCTGGAGTGCAGTGGCGTGATCTCAGCTCACTGTAAGCTCTGACACCCGGGCTCAGGTGATTCTCCCACCTCAGCCTCCCAGATAGCTGGGACCACAAGTGTGCACCTCCACGCTTGGCTGATTTTTTTTTTTTTTTTTTTTTTGAGACAGAGTCTCACTCTGTTGCCCAGGCTGGAGTGCAGTGGCACAATCTCGGCTCACTGCAAGCCCCGCCTCCCAAGTTCAAGCGATTCTCCTGCCTCAGCCTCCCGAGTAGCTGGGATTATAGGCATGCACCACCATGCTCGGCTAATTTTCTATTTTTAGTAGAGACGGGGTTTCTCCATGTTGGCCTGGCTGGTCTCGAACCCCCAACCTCAGGTGATCCACCTGCCTCGGCCTCCCAAAGTGCTGGGATTACAGGCGTGAGCCACCACGCCCGGTCGATGCTTGGCTGATTTTTTAGTCTTTTTTTTCACAGATGGAGTTTCGCCACATTGCCCAGGCTGGTCTCGAACTCCTAGACTCAAGGGATCTGCCCTTCTCGGTCTCCCAAAATGCTGGGATTACAGGCATGAGCCACTGCGCCCAGTCCTACCCTATAGATTTTAGATGTGCCAGCTCCCACAATTATGTGAGCTAATTCCTTAAAGTAAATAACCTTCCTTTTTTTTTTTTTTTTTTGAGACGGAGTCTCGCTCTGTCGCCCAGGCTGGAGTGCCGTGGCGTGATTTCCGCTCACTGCAAGCTCTGCTTCCTGGGTTCATGCCATTCTCCTGCCTCAGCCTCCCGAGTAGCTGGGACTACAGGCGCCTGCTACCACACCTGGCTAATTTTTGTATTTTTAGTAGAGACAGGGTTTCACCATGTTGGCCAGGCTGGTCTTGAACGCCTGACCTCAGGTGATCCACTCGCCTTGGCCTCCCAAAGTGCTGGGATTATAGGCATGAGCCACTGTGCCTGGGCCATTATGTACTCTTTACGTTCATTTTTCACTTATCCTTGGACAAGCAATGAAATACATTCGGTGCTATTTTGTCTTTCACCTTTGACAATGGATTCAATCTCTTTCATGGCAGCTTCACTTTCAGCTTCTGCAAGTTTTTCATTGATTTCCATTATTTCCATGAGAAATTGCCTGTCCATTTCATAATCTGTCCTTTCAGGAATCTCTATTCCATGGAGCTTTAGCTATTGGGGCAGAAAGCAAGAAAAATAAGTTGAAGAAACTATGGGCAGAGTAATCTAAATCCTACTCATCCGTTAGGAAATAATACCGCTAATAGAGAAAACTGGAACAGTCCCAGTAATGAAAGACTAAGGGGTATCAAAAGGTTGGACTGAAACATAAATGCTGGAATGGGATTTCCACTTAATGCTACCTGAAACTGTGTGACCTTGGTGTGATCTTGGGGTAGTCATCCCTCTACCCAGAGGTTGAACTAGATGTTTCTAAAGATTCTATTCAATTACAAAATTTTCTAGATCGTAAGATACTTTTTTTTTTTTTTTTGAGATGAAGTCTCGCTCTGTTACCCAGGCTGGAGTGCAGTGGCATGATCTCAGCTCACTGCAACCTCTGCCTCCTGGGGAAGCAATTCTCTGCCTCAGCCTCTCAAGTAGCTGGGATTAGAGGCACCTGCCACCACGTCTGGCTAATTATTTTGTATTTTTTGTAGAGGCAGGGTTTCACCACCTTGACCAGGCTGGTCTTGAACTCCTGACCTCGTGATCCACCTGCCTCGGCCTCCCAAAGTGCTGGGATTACAGGCGTGAGCCAGCATGCCTGGCCTCTTAAGATACTTTTCAGAGGGGAAAATAAAAAAAACACAACAGAAAATGACTTTTAACTAAAAGCTACCAACATCAAATCCTTGAAATTCATAGAAAAAAGCTAGAAAATAACAATTTAAAAAATGCTGTTGAGGCAAGTAATATTCACAGAGAAAATTATACTTGTGCTGTAAGGCTAAATACTATTGGGTCCCTGGACTCTTTTTTTTTTTTGAGAGGGTGCAGTAGTACAATCACAGCTCACTGTAGCCTTGACCTCTCAGGCTCAAGTGATCCTCCTGCTTCAACTCCAGAGTAGCTGGGACTACAGGTGTATGCCACCATACCCAGCTAATTTTGGTATTTTTTGTGGAAATGGGGTGTCATCATGTTGCCCAGGATGGTCTTGAACTCCTGGGCTGAAGTGATCTGTCCACCTCAGCCTCCTAAAGTGCTGGGATTACAGGTGTGAGCCACCATGCCCGACCTCAAGCACTCTTCTGCTGAATAAAGGGGACGTGGCTGTCCTATGTCATAATGGGCATCAGGACTTCATGCACAAAAGGGTTGGGAAATCACCTTACAAGGTACAGTCCTCTGCTCAGGGGGGCGAGGAGGGTCTTATAGGCGTCATTCACCAGGGTCGAATGCTTCTCTGAGAAGTCCTTTTCAGTCTGTTAGTGGAGATGAAGATAGTACTTTACCATCCAAATTACAAAGTTTTTTTTTTTTTTTTTTTAGACAGAGTCATCCAGGCTGGAGTGGCAGTGGCATGAACTCAGCTCACTGCAACCTCTGTCTCCCACGTTCAAGTGATCCTCCTGCCTTAGCCTCTCAAGTAGCTGGGACTATAAGCGTGTGCCACTGCACTAGGCTAATTTTTATATTTTTAGTAGAGACAGGGTTTCACCATGTTGGCCAGGCTGGTCTTGAACTCCCGACTTCAAGTGATCCGCCTGCCTGGGCCTCCCAAAGTGCTGGGATTAGAGGCATGAGCCACTGCACCAGGCAGGCCCACAAAGTTTTATAATATGCTGATGGGCAGGCACCTAAGGAAGTGGTTAAGTAGAGCTGGTGTGGGATGAGATGTCTTTATACTCAGCTGATAGGTTTTAAGTTATCGGGGAAGTCAGACAAAAGCTATGAGTGAATGGCAGCTCTGGGTCTGGCAGGCTAGGATCAGACTGCCATGGGGCAGACACAGCTGATTTTCCAGCTGGGTCCCTGATAATCACATAATCACAAGGCCACTGCCACCCAGTATGCACACATATTTGGGGATTATTGGGGTTGGCCAATAAGCTACCTGAGACCTCTGGCTGAAGAAATCTGGGTGGACAAGACGCTGCAGTTGCTGGTACCTGTGCTGGAGCTTTGCAGTATCAACTCTGAAGGAACGGTTGCTGGAAAGAAATTGGGAGATTAAATTTATGCAACACATATTTAAAGATTTGTCTACCATGAGCCTGGTTCTTGCTCTTATGGGGAAGTTGCAATAACATATACACAGATAATTTCAAAAAGTGGTAGGTCCTACGAAGGGACACAGAACAGAATCAGAGTGGGTAGCAGATGTAGTGGACAATGAGACGACACTGAACTGAAACCTGAATGATGAGTAGTCAAAGATCAGATGAAAGAGACATCCAGGTGGAATTCCAAGAGCAAGGACCTCGAGGTGGAAGCAAGACAGGGATGCCTGAGGAACTTAAAGATCAGTGTTACTGTAGCCCCTTATACATGTTCAATGACTGGTGGGGGCAGATCCCACAGTTAAGGGAAAAGGACATTCCTAAATTACACAAAGATTTTTTGCCTGGCCAAACTTTAGTCAGATTTCTGAACCTTCTCCTAGGCCCAGCTGTATGCTTTCTTGTAAAATCCAGTTTTGGCAAATAACCTTGCTAAGTCAGTTTAGCTAGAATCTTAGATATTTGATTATCCTAGATCTCTGATCAGATCTAGGATATCCTCCACCATCCTCCACCATCCCCTAGGTAATGTCTGAGCACCCTGGCCTGTCTTCAGCAAGAATACTGTTAGGTCGGTTTAGCCAGAATCCCGTTTACTCTGCTCCTTGGCTACAAATTTCCTTCTGCCCATGCTGTTTTTGGAGTTGAGACCAATCTCTCTCCCTAACTGCAAGACTCTATTGCAGTGCCCCCTCTACAAGATGATCTTTTTTTTCTTTTCTTTTTTTTTTTTTTTGAGACTGAGTCTGGCTCTGTCGCCCAGGCTGGAGTGCAGTGGCCAGATCTCAGCTCACTGCAAGCTCCGCCTCCCGGGTTTACGCCATCTCCTGCCTCAGCCTCCCGAGTAGCTGGGACCACAGGCGCCCGCCACTTCGCCCGGCTAGTTTTTTGTATTTTTTAGTAGAGATGGGGTTTCACCGTGTTAGCCAGGATGGTCTCGATCTCCTGACCTCGTGATCCGCCCGTCTCGGCCTCCCAAAGTGCTGGGATTACAGGCTTGAGCCACCGCGCCCGGCCTTTTCTTTCTTTTTTTTTTTTTTTGAGAGGGAGTCTCGCTCTGTTCCCCAGGCTGGAGTGCAGTGGCGCGATCTCGGCTCACTGCAAGCTCCGCCTCCTGGGTTCACGCCATTCTCCTGCCTCAGCCTCCGGAGTAGCTGGGACTACAGGCGCCCGCCACCGCGGCCGGCTAATTTTTTGTATTTTTAGTAGAGACAGGGTTTCACCGTGGTCTCGATCTTCTGACCTTGTGATCCGCCCGCCTCGGCCTCCCAAAGTGCTGGGATTACAGGCGTGAGCCACCGCGCCCGGCCAAGATGATCTTGAATAAAGTCTTTCTGGTGTTTGAACAAGTGTGACTGAATAACGTTTTCTTTAATACCACCCTATCTTTTCCACAGCCCAGGTCCCTTCATCCCTGTCTCCCGGTTTATTTTAATTCAACCCCGTTCACACTCTACTCCCAGAGTCTGTCCTATTTCCTTATCAGTTCAGCTCTATCCACACTGCCCCATCTCTCCAAGATCGTCAGCCTCAGGGGAAAAAACTATTTATTGGACCCTTTCCCTCGAATTCTCACTTTTCCCTCAGGTCTCGCCTACAATATTAAGATTTTCATGCTTTACTCCCCAATTTCGGACTACACTTCTGCAGTCCTTTCTTAAATACATCAAACCAACTCTTCCAGTCTCCCGGGCCCTGCCCCTCAAGTACCCCTTCCTCAAGCTCCGCCCCTCGACTTCTCCTTCCCTTTCCCGTAGGTACCGCCCCTCAAATTTCCCTCCCCTCTAGCCTCGGCCCCCCTATTTCCTCTAACTTCAGCGCCCGCCCCTCCAGTCCCGTTCGTCTCCCTTCTCCACACCTCAACGCTGCTTCCCTCAGTCCCCGCCTCTCAATTTCCTCCTGAGAAATCAAGACACTTCTCTCACGCCTGCTCTCTAGACCTCCGCCCCCCTATCGGTCCCGCCTTCTCTTCCGCAAGCCAGATCCGTCCTCCCCTCTCGCAGGCCAGACCCCGACGTCTCTCTCGCCCGGGCCCGTTTCCCGAAACAGTCGCTCGTACCAGTCCATAAGGCTGAAGTAGTCTCGAGTGGGGTCAGGTGCCTGCAGCGCTCTGCACTGTGGGCAGAAGAACCTGTCCTCCCGCCCGGGGCCCCTTGGGCCGCCGCAGTTCCAACAGTGGGGAGAATTGCTTTCCGCCTGCGACGCAGCATCGCAGCTTAGCAGTCTCCTTCTGGGAACCCCTGTTGGCCAAAACCCCCACACCCGGAGCAAAGCCCCGACTCTCCCCCGCCACATCTCGCCGGCGGCCTAGCTAGCCGTGGTCACCCGTGGGGAAAAGCAAAGAGAGCGTCCAACCAGACTAATGCTGCTGATTGGCTGGGGAGTCGAGGGGGCGGGATCACCCGAGGGGAACCCGAGTTCTAAGTTCCGCTCTGCCTTCTAAACTACAACTCCCAGGAAGCATTGAGGCGATGCCTGACGGCCACATCTGCTGCTCCTCATTGGTCCGGCGGCAGGGGAGAGGGTTTTGATTGGCTGAGGGTGGAGTTTGTATCTGCAGGTTTAGCGCCACTGCAGGCTGAGGCTGTGGAGAGTGTGCGGCTCCAGGTGGGCTCACGCGGTGAGTCATATTGGGAACTTCTGTTGGGTGTTTGGTGGTTCGAATCCCATCTTCAGCGTTTCGTGCGAGCGGAGTCTCCTGAGCTTCGCTTTGTCTGTATTTTTGTACTGAAGGGGGAGTGTGTGGGCGACTCTCTTCCTTTTTAGTAGATCATCCTCGAGGTGAAGTTCACTTCCCGTATTACTTACAAGCTGAAACAGGCCTGAACGGACAGGATAAGAAGGAACAGAGTTGTGTTCTTCAATATCAGAGCGAAGTTACTTTGTAAAAAGTTCTATAGATGTTAGTAATCATTGCCATTCTTTAGATTCAATCTCTAAAATACTTATAGAGAGGCCAGTCTTAGCTACTGGGCGCTGCAGGAACTGCAAACGCACTGAGCTGTGTAGGAGGATGTTCTGCGTGTCCCTAAGTAAGTCCCTAAGTAAGTGTATGGGATAGGGTGGCCAGGAGTGGGTAGGAGGGAATCAGTCCTCCTTCGGACTTAGGTTTTCTACTTGAAAAAAAAGATTGTGTTTCACTTGAAAGCCTTCTGGACTTTTTAAAAAAAATTATTTATTTTTGATATAAAGTATGTATGAGTACCACATATGTACCTTTTTTTTTTTTTTTTTGAGACGGAGTCTCTCTCTGTTGCCAGGCTGGAGTGCAGTGGCGCGATCTGGGCTCACTGCAACTTCTGCCTCCTGGGTTCAAGCGGTTCTCCTGCCTCAGCCTCCAAAGTATCTAGGATTATAGGTGCCCGCCACCATGCCCGGCTAGTATTTTTAGTAGAGATGGGGTTTTACCATGTTGGCCAGGCTGGTCTTGAATTCCTGACCTCAGGTGATCCACCCGCCTTGGCCTCCCAAAGTGCTGGGATTACAGGTGTGAGCCACTGCACCCAGCCTAATTTCAGTTTTTTGAGGAATCACAATACTTTTGTGATTAGTGGCTATACTAATTTGCATTCCCACCAATGGTGTATGTGAACAGGGCTAGGTCAGACATAACTAGGTCCGTGAACATTTGTGTTTTTCCACAAGATCAGACTTACTGATGTTTTATTTTAATTGTAAAAGCCACGAGCTACATGGAGTTCCCAAGGAAGCAATTTTCTGTAGTACTACCTGTTTACTTGGTAGTCAGAACCATGGGCACACAGGCTGAAGCCATTCCACAAGTCAGTCAGCATTGTAAATTATACACAATAGTATATTTATTTAATATATAAATGTTATAGGTTAAAAATCTTACATTAAAGTAACATTTAACATTCAGAGAAAAGGGGATAGGGAAAGCGGTTATCAAACCAGTCCAAGGAGAGCAATGTGGACAAAGAGAGTGTTTTGGCTTGATCTGGGGTGTCAGTGTCTTGTAAGGAAGAGTTTTTGATGTGGATGAGCCTTTGGTGGCAGATGCTGGGTGTTAATCGTGAGTGACAGCAAGATGGTGTCTGTTAGGACAGCCATTCTGACCTAATAAAGTCCTGGTCTTATGACCACAAAATTTTCTGGTAAGGACTAATAACAAAAGCGTGTACATGTTTATGTCCTTATCTGGTTTGGTACCGTCTTTTTTTGTTTTTTTTTTTGAGACAGAGTCTCGCTTTGTCTCTCGCAGGCTAGAGTGCAGTGGCGTGATCTCGGATCACTGCAACTTCAGACTCCCTGGTTCAAGCGATTCTCCTGCCTCAGCCTCCCAAGTAGCTGGGATTACAGGCACGTGACACCACGCCCAGCTAAGTTTTGTATTTTTAGTAGAGTCGGGGTTTCACCATGATGGCCAGGATGGTCTTGATCTCCTGACTTTGTGATCCGTCTGCCTTGGCCTCCCAAAGTGCTGGGATTACGGGCATGAACCACTGTGCCTGGCCAGTACAGTCTTTATTAATTAGACAAACATCTGGTCCCTATTGGCATAATGCCTTTTAAAATACAAGAGCCTTTTTCTAAGATAAAATTACTTATGTCAAGAGCACTCTGTACAGTTCCCCTTTCTCCACATTCTTCCCAGCATCTGTTATTGCCTGTCTTTTATTCAAACCATTTTAACTGGGGTGAGATGGTATCTCATTGTAGGTTTGTTTGTTTGTTTGTTTGTTTGAGACAGAGTCTTACTCTGTCGCCTAGGCTGGAATGCAGTGGTGCGATTTTGACTCACTGCATTCTCTGCCTCCCAGGTTCAAGCGATTCTCCTGCCTCAGCCTCCCAAGTAGCTGGGATTATAGACACCTGCCACCATGCCCAGCTAATTTTCATATTTTTAGTGGAGACAGGGTTTCACCATGTTGGCCAGGCTGGTCTCAAACTCCTGACCTCAAGTGATCTGCCCGCCTCCGCCTCCCAAAGTTCTGGGATTACAGGCATGAGATACTGTGCCCAGGCCTCACTGTAGTTTTGATTTGTTATTTCTCCAATGATCAGTGATGTTGAGCATTTTTTTATATACCCGTTGGCCATTTGTATGTCTTCTTTTGAGAAATGTCTGTTCGGATCTTTTGCCCATTTCTTTTTTTTGAGACAGAGTCTCACTCTGTCACCTAGCCTGGAGTGCAGTGGCGCGATCTCGGCTCACTGCAATCTCCGTCTCCGTTTCCTGGATTCAAGTGATTCTCATGTCTCAGCCTCCAAAATAGCTGGGACTACAGGCACGAGCCACCACGCCCAGCTAATTTTTTGTATTTTTAGTAGAGATGTGGTTTCGCCATGTTGGCCAGGCTGGTCTTGAAGTCCTGACCTCAGATGATCCACCCTGCCTTGGCCTCCCAAAGTGCTGGGATTACAGATGTGAGGCACTGTGCCTGGCCTGCCCATTTCTTTTTTTTTTTTTTTTTTGAGACGGAGTCTCGCTCTGTCGCCCAGGCTGGAGTGCAGTGGCGCGATCTCGGCTCACTGCAAGCTCCGCCTCCCGGGTTCACGCCATTCTCCTGCCTCAGCCTCCCGAGTAGCTGGGACTACAGGCGCCCACAACCGCGCCCGGCTAATTTTTTGTATTTTTAGTAGAGACGGGGTTTCACCGTGGTCTCGATCTCCTGACCTTGTGATCCACCCGCCTCGGCCTCCCAAAGTGCTGGGATTACAGGCGTGAGCCACCGTGCCCGGCTGCCCATTTCTTAAATTGGATTATTTGTCTTTTGCAGTTGAGTTTCATCTCCTTATATATTCTGATTATTCATCCCTTGTCAGATGGCTAGTTTGGAAATGTTTTTTCCCATTCTGTGGGTTGTCTCTTCACTTTGTTGATTGTTTCCTTTGCTGTGCAGAAGCTTTTTTAGCTTGATGACATCCCAGTTGTCTGTTTTTGCTTTAGTTGCCTGTGCTTTTGAGGTCTTACGCAAAAAACCTGTGCCCAAGATGAGTGTCCTGGAGCATTTCCCCAGTGTTTTCTTCTAGTGGTTTTATAGGTTTGGGGACTGGACTTCTGTTTATAGTCCTGGAGTTTTGCTGCCTTCACTTTGGTCTTTCACTCACTTCTCTGCATGACTTTCCAATAACAATGGCTCCCAGAGAGCTTGGGTGGGTGGGGGGAGTATTACATACATCACTTCACTTAATCCTTATGGTCTGTCTACTTATTTTTGATGAGAAAACAGGCTTAGCGAAGTTGTGATCTACCTAAAGTCATGCACAGTTTCACTCAAGTGTCTGACTCCAGATCTGCTTGCCTCTAATCTCTCATAGCAACTTGTTGACACATTTTCTCCAGTTGTCCAGTCTTGCTCAAAAAGCTGTGGGGAAGACTCAGCCTGGCTGAGGTAGTATTAGACCAGCAGTCCCTGGAGTGGCATACTCAGTTTTGGCATTGCCTTCCTGGTATGTTTTAAAGAAAACTCATCAGAACCTTTGTATCCTTTTTTTTTTTTTTTTTTTTTCCTGGTGATAGGGTCTCTGTCACCTAGGCTGGAGTGTAGGCTCAATCACGGCTCACTGCAGCTTCAGCCTCCTGGGCTCAAGTGATCCTCCCACCTCAGCCTCCCAAGTAGCTGGGACTGCAGGTGCACACCACCATGCCCTGCTAATTTTTTGTATTTTCTGTAGATATTGGATTTCACCATGGTGTCCAGGCTGGTCTCGAATTCCTGGGCTTGAGGAATCTGCCTGCGTCAGCCTCCCAAAGTGCTGGGATTACAGACTAGACCCACCACACCTGGCAGAACATTTGTATCTTGAAAGCTGTGTAAATACAATCAATGTGGGTATCGTAGTCCCTACTTATCAGCGGTAGTAATTTCAGTTACCAATGGTCAGCTGTGATCTGAAACTAAGTGGAAAATTCATAAGAAATAATCAATTCATGGTTGGACATGGTAGCTCATGCCTGTAATCCTAGCACTTTGGGAGGCCGAGGTGGGCCTGAGGATCACCTGAGGTCAGGAGTTTGAGATCAGGCTGGCCAATACGGTGAAAACCCTGTCTCTACTAAAAAAATACACAAATTAGCCAGGCATGGTGGTGCGTGCCTGTAATCCCAGCTACTTGGAAGGCTGAGGCAGGGGAATTGCTTGAACCCAGGAGGTGGAGGTTGCAGTGAGCCGAGATTGTGCCACTGCACTCCAACCTAGGTGACTGAGTGAGACTCTGTTTAAAAAAAAAGAAATAAGGCCGGGCGCGGTGGCTCAAGCCTGTAATCCCAGCACTTTGGGAGGCCGAGGCGGGCGGATCACAAGGTCAGGAGATCGAGACCACAGTGAAACCCCGTCTCTACTAAAAATACAAAAAATTAGCCGGGCGCGGTGGCGGGCGCCTGTAGTCCCAGCTACTCAGGAGGCTGAGGCAGGA